ATAAAAACTAACATTAAATTTAAATATCAAATTTCTAATTATTAATCATAAGTAAAATTCTTATATAATGAATAAATTGAATAAAATATTTTATCTCAATATTACATGGAGGGTCACAATAACCAGGGTGTTAGTCCATTACAGCCCGATGTTAGGCAAAAATTGTTGAAATGTGTGGACTATTTTCCAGATAAATGTGCCGATTGTGAGCCCCTATACCTAAAGGAACTGGAGTTAGGGTTTGATATATGGATGTGCGCTATGACTGACCCGAATGCCCCGGCCCTGGAACGACAGTTGTCTAATTTCAATGGTCATATTAATCCCAATATTGAGCTTTCTAAATCGATGTTTGGTTTGTCCAAGATCACTTTACCGTCAATACTCAGTTGTTTTGATCACTTGATTACCGGCTTATCTAACGAGAAATATTTTAATCAATTAACCAGATTGCGAACTAAACTAACCAAGACACTACATAATATACTATGTAATTATTATTTATATTAATAAAATAATTATACATTATTTGTAAACTGGTTTTTATTGCAGGTGATAATGGAGTACTCATATATCCGGGACATCCAGAAACAGGTATAGAATATATTTAAAAAACAAGTATTGTATTTATAAAATATTTTATAATTAAAATTAATTGTTTTCTACCGTAATAATTCGTTTATAAGCGCCGAAACACAACCAAACAATAGTGAAAGTTGTGAACATCTCGTATACGTGTGTTTTCAATACACTAGACGTTGCCATCACTTCCGTGCCGTTGGGTCTGACCAGTGATGGCCTTCCGGTCGGCGTTCAGATCATTGGTAAACCCTTTAACGATAGGCTGACCATCGCTTTGGCCGAAGAGTTGGACAAAGGATTGGGTGGATGCACAGCACCGGCACCTGTTATGTGTTGATATTATCGGCCGTTTAATTGGTGTTTAAAATATTAGCACTATTTGTAAGATTAATGGCCAAATATACTGTATACAATCACAAGAATGTAGATTTATGTCATGAAATTAATATAATTATTTAATCAAATAATTTATTTTAATGTATTTTTATTGGTACCCAAAATAGTTTTTAAGAATATGGTGTTAAATAAGTAATTAATATAAGATAATGTGCTTTAAACAAAATATAGCAATTCATGTTTTATATAGATTAAATTAAAAGAAACATTTAAGATATTTGCAAAACAGTTTTAAAATTATTTAACAAATCTCAAATTATTTATGACAATAATTCCGATGTCCATTAGCATATCCATAGAATTATTATATACATAATACAAAAGTTAAAAACATAGGTTTTAGCGTTTATTTTTATATAATATATAAAGTAATTATTGTAAACATTGTACGTAAACATATTTATATACACATTCATATAAAATAGTTCTACAAATATGGTTTAATTATCAAACAATGAATTAGTTATATTATAGTCAATTTATAAACATAAGATTAATTTAATTATGATAAAAACATTCGGGCGTAGGATCGTTGCCATTATTTAGTCAGAATATTTATCAGCAATAATACAAAAGGTTGAACACATTTGTTATACAGTTTGTTTAAATAAAATACAACGTATAAATGAATTATTGTTAAAATTGTATTACTATTTCAAATTATTATGACAAATTATGTACACTGTTTTAGCACACCGAATACAACCCAGTAATACAATCATGATTATTTAATTATAATAATTTTTAATTATTACAAACAAATATTATTTATATTATAATTTACTAATTTATTGAGACATAGTTTCTGCAGAATTTCCTTGATCGTTTATTTGTAAAATTAGATATAATACCATATACTGGTAACGACTAAAGGGTCCGGGCCCGGAAGACATTTTTTTATGTACGGCAATACCAATATTTGGACGGTCGATCGGTCGACTCAAATGCCGATCAAAGTGGGCCCGGATGACACGGGCCCACCACTTTTCCGGCATTTTTCACATTTTTACGGAAAATTTTTTATTAAAGAATTTAGTTAAAAATTAATTTATTTAATGAAAAATTAATTTAATTGAATTAAGGGAGGTGTAATTTACAGTAAAAATAATTTAAGAATTTTCCGTAAAAATGT